GGCTCTATTCATTTAGCGTTAAATTGAAGCTTCTGCAAGAATGGATTCCAGCTCATTTCATCAGAGGGACTCGAATCATGAGGGTTCAGCGTTTCAAGTTGCATGGTCGAGGAATGCAAAATTGAAGAGATGTCTCGAAGACTACGTCACCCAAAACGTCGTTTTAAATCCAAAGGGCTGATGAGCTATCTTCATCATGCACTTGCAATCAAAATGTACGTCTTGACAACAATGTTAGCTCAAGAAATTCCTCGAAACCCAGCTAGTCTTCGTGTGTGTTATAAAAAGTTGATCAGAATAAATCTTCGAAAACCAGCATTTCTAAATGCCGAGGGGGATTGCATTTCCTTGTAACTATGATGAATTAGTAACTCAGGCTGCTATGCTGACAAAATGTCTATCTGCTATACGAGATGTATTTAGCTCATTTCATTTAAGGTGATGAAGATAGTGTTAGATGACTTTTCCCACAATCCTGTGAGTATATCTTACGTTTCCTTTGGATTTCATACAACCTTCCAGGTTCGACTGGACTCATTTCACCAGAGGGACTCGAATCATGAGGGTTCAGCGTATAAACTCGACACGTTAACCATATCGCATGTTGTCACAAGCACCCTTTAGTCACGTGGCAGATGTAAATGACAACGACTACCAGAAAGAGTGTAAATACATCTCAAATATATGATCTGTTTGTAGTTACAAGGCGCCTGCTTGCAAAAGGAAGATTAAATAACCTAGTCGACTGCTACAGCAAATACAACTTGGCTTAATTGACAACCACACCAGAGAATGTGATATGCGAAAATGCTAGACCCTCCTTCAAATTGACATATCGTGCAGTGAGGCGTAATTAGTAACGTGCCGAGATCATACGCTGCATTGTCATGGTTGATGAGAACAGTTTAGGCGAGGTGGAAACTGCAGTCCACCCCAGCCTGGATGAGAGTACCTTTTGGGAAGCAGAGCTATGTGGAATCCAATAGACACATGAGGCCTATTCAAGTGAATGTATGAAAATTCATCTAAATTCAGCCTAAACGAAATAGGCTGAATACACTTCATGCATATATGATGTACTGATGGGATCGAAAAGCTACATTTAGACCTTAAAAAGGAGAAGATGTCTGCTGTTTGCCTCTTGGCTCGTGCGTTCTAGGCTCCAGTCACGGAGGAGAGATGTGTTCACCCTATTTCGTTTCATATAACTGATTGACTGGTGGTTTGGAAATTCATTTTATGAAATAAAAGAAAAGTATGCGTTACACTAAGGACACTAACAACAGCATTAAAGTGTCGTTTCGCAAATAAAAATTTGGCTTTCGACTAATCTATTCTCGCATAACTGTTGAGCATATTTCCACTTCGAGTGAAAGTGTTTGCTGAAGAGATTCGAAGGTCGATCTCGACAGAAGACGACGGCGGACTCCCCTTAACTTGCTTGTCGATTGGTTCTACTGAAACGTTCTTGTCGCAGCTGTTTCCGAAGCAATCTCCTCCTATTCCCGTGAAGATGTGCTAAACTTTCGTCTGTCCTACGAGACACATCATTATAGCAGGATATAATCCGATAAAAGCATATTTATGCAAACGAGTCAAGAACAGCAATTTCATTTTCCGTTCTCATTACTTTGTGTCATCACTTCTAGTCTCGTGCATATACCAGCACATGAAGGAAAATGAATACACACACACAGACACACTCACATGCTTCGTAGTTGACATGTGACTTGAACTTACAAACTTACTTAATGCCTCATCAAAGGGCTTAAATTTAAAGTATGTATACAATATTTATGGATGAGCCAGTGAGTTTTCTTGACTCGTTATCGTGAATATGATTATAAGGATGATGCCATCTGCTCTGATGTTGTCCGTCATAAGACAGCACCGGAATCGAAGGAGATTCCCTTCGAAACAGCATCAAAAAGGATGCTCCAGTAAAACTAATCGACACCTGGTCAAGATAATTCCACCTTCGTCCTTTGGTGAGATCGACCTCCGACTCTATTCACCAAACACTTTTGCTCAATAATTTCTATTCTTTTTTCCATTTCAGTGAAGCATATTTCATTCGGTCTCATTTGTTTGTTTCACAATTATCTGAACTTCTTGAATACTAATTCAGTCAGGCGAGACGAGTTAAAAACTGATAGTTCAGTTCTCCCACAATCAGAAGAATAGATCGCAGGGAGGAGATATGATTTCTCCTTACCTTTGATGGGATTGTCGATTAGGCAAATATATTTTCGCCATACAAATCGACGATATTACTTACATGTGATATAAATATACTTCAAGATTGTCATTAATTTTGCAATGGTATCACTTGTTGCCAATAGAAATAGGGCATTCTCAGAGAGGTCATATTATTTATTTTGAGCCAGTCAATTCTCATCAAACCATCCACGTCTATGTCCATGTCCATGTCCATGCCAATGCAGATGTCAGTGCCTAGGAATCTTCCTCTCCATAGGCACCAAACCCATGACTTGGATATCCTCTCCCTCATGCTCACTCGCATCTTGTCTCATTGTTTGGGGCCCGTGTCCGCTTAAGTGGACGGCTGGTGTGAGAATGCCGGTAATAGCGATGTGTTCAGCCATCTCCGATCTTTCCGTGTCCATTTTTCTGCATAGTCGCTGGTGTTTTTCCCATCTCTTTGATGTATCTTTGCTCACAGTCCTTGCATTTTGTACTATAAACTCCTGAGCACTCCGTTTTGCTGACTTCTTCATGTTGTGTGGGCAAGCTAGTGAAGATGGTTGTCTTTTCCTTAAACATTGTACGAATATTCCATTTTCCTAGTGTTGGCCGTAGCTTCCAACCCAATTTCATCGTTTTCTCTGCTACTCTTGCCTTCCTTACATAATCTACGTTCTTCAATCTTTTCATCACCATCCCTATGTTGTGTTGTATTGCTTCTTCTGGATATCCGTTTCCAAGACACAGCTGAGTCAGTTCTTCCCAGAAATCAGAATCAGTAAGTCGTAAGCTTCTTCTGACTATACTCTGAATTATTCAAATCTTCATTCCATAAGTATGGTTCGACTGGAAGTTGAAAGTTGTTTCAGCATGTGATTTCTTTCGGAAAGGTCTTTACTTAAGAGTTTCCTCTGATCGAATGCCCTCCACATTCAATAATGGTAAGTGTCCGTTCTCTTCACCATTCAAGGTTGCTATTTTCTTTTTCCAAGATCTCCACTGGCACGGTTAGTACTTTTTCTCCAGTGATGTTGATGTACATGGATTGTACATCAAAGCTTACCAAAAGTTCGTTGCCTTCCAAACTTAGGCCGATGATTCATTGACAAAATTCGTATGGGTTGTTTGACCTTGTTTTCGCAACTCGGTCATTTTGGTAGGAAGACTTAGAGGAACGCACCGAGTCCGGAGTCAATTGTATGCATCATCAATTCCAGAGTAGGACTGTGGACGTGGTACATTCAAAGAGACAAGTGTCTCTTTGACGAGTTGTAATATGGTGCTAAGAATGACGAGACTTACTGACGATGCCGACTACGATGCCGGTAAAACGTCTGAGAATGTGCCACGTCCACGGTCCTACTCTGGAATTGATGATGCATACAATGGAATTCGGACTCGGTGCGTTTCTCTAAGTCTTCCTACCAATATGACCGAGTTGCGAAAACAAGATCAAACAACTTCTATACA